AGGAAGGAAGGAAGGAAGGAAGGAAGGAAGGAAGGAAGGAAGGAAGGAAGGAAGGAAAAGAAGGAAGGAAGGAAGGAAAAGAAGGAAGGAAGGAAAAGAAGGAAGGAAAAGAAAGAAAGAAAAGAAGTTGAAATTAGAGGAACTAACATGGCGTTACTGGTGGCTGTGGCCGAAACTTCAGCAGAAGAAACTACTCCACACTTGGAACATTTGAGCGTCATGCCGTAAAGGGGCACTGCCATCTGACTGCAATTAAAACCAAAAGACTGAAACAAAACAAAACACTTCGCTCATGAGCACAAACGTCGAAAGGAAAGGGAAAGAGAAGCCAAAAAGAAAGGAAGGAGAAAAGGGAACCAACCAACCATACCCAGTTTGGGAAGGGAAATGAAAGACAAGCAGGAATTAAAAGTCTCATCTGTACCACTCCAGATGTGGGGAACGGGGGGAAATGGACAACTCAGAGACTTGTTGGTGCTGCTGGAGAGGGTGGAACTGTGTTGGTGAAAGTCTTGCCAGATTTGGGGTGTCCCTCTCTGGCACCCACGGATGAGAGACCAGCACTGCTCTCCCAGTCTCCACCTCCTTCTTTTTGCATGGGTTTTTTGTTTGGTTTGTGTTGTTGGTTTTTTGTTTTTTTGGTTTTTTTTTTGAGAAATTGCTCTTTTCCCTCCTGGCCTTTTTGCTCCAAAACAAAAAAGGTGGCAGGGTTGTGCAGTAGAAGGCAAGAAGTAGGGCTGTGGGGGCTGTGCCTGCTTATCTTCTGTCCTAAAGCAATGCCAGGGATAAGTCACTTGTTTTCTCTGACTGGGAGCTGCTGGTGAGACCAGGACAGAGGCCACTCTTTGGTTGCTTCATCCCTGATGTAGGATGGGACTCTTTTATGTCCCAAAGTTAATCCTGAGCTTGGGTGTTTCCTCAGACCCCCAAACTGCCCTGAAAAGAACCCAACTGGCTGACTGCCTCTGAGATATTCCTTCTCTCAGATCCTGTTCTGGAGCTGAAAACATCTTTGGGATGGATCCTGACAATTATTCCCACCAGCTGATCCAGCTTTTTCTGGATGGGACCAACCACAGAAACAGCCCACTGAGGGCTGCTGGTATGAGGGGATCTGCTAAAGCACATCCTTGGATTTTTAGCAGCTGAAGTGTGGGAACCCCCCCAGTTCAGCTCTTTAGGAGCCCAGAAGCCACATTAGCTTGGCACTGGCCCCGTTTCTTCCCAGAATTTAGTGGTTGTGTGCTCTCCCTGGTCTGCACAAATCCACAGCCACATCAGATCTGGCTTGGAAAACGGGAAGGAGTCTGCAAAACATCCCCCAGACCTCCCTGCTGTGCCTGGCACTAGAGAAGACATGAAACCACTGCCAGAACCAGCAGGAATGTCATCCCTGGGGTGTGGTGAGGACACTGCTGAGGGAGGTTTGCCCCATCCAGGAGGGGTTTTACAGCCCTGCCCTGCCTGGGAGAGAGATCAGGTGACTCCACAGAGCATTTCTTAGCTTTGGTGGCTCTCTGTTCAGTCTCACTGCAGAAAGACATCCTGGTGAGCACCAACACAGCAGCAGCAGTGGGCCCATGGCCCCCTTTCAAGTGGCTATTGATTGGTCTTTTCATTAATTACAGCGACATAAGTCATCGTTCCCGTCCAGAATAATGACTAAGGCATCCCACAGAAGCTTTCAGACACAGAGGAAATCAGCTCCTGTGTCCACAGATAAATATCTTCCAGGAAGGATGGTGTAAATCCTGTGAGGACAATGTCTGAACCAAATATAAAGTGGGTCTGGAGAGGCATTAGGTGCATGACCCTTAAAAAAAATAAAATTACAGCTTATCCCCAAATCTATAAGCCACAAAGAACAGATAAGCAGAAAGACAGAGAGAGGCAGAGATAGGCAGCAAAAAGAAAAAAAGTAGATTGACTTGAGGAATTTGATGGGAAACTGTACCAGAAAAAACATGAATGACACTGAATCACAGAGAACTGGCCAAAAGACCACTGTAAACACACAACTGTAGCTGCTGTTGGGTGTGTTTATGCAGAAAGTTGCAAGCAGTGGGCACAGATGTAGGTACATTTATCTCCTTGTTCCTTCTGGTTGGGGGCATGAGGTTGTTAATATACTGAATTTCCGTAGCAGGTTTAGATTGGTGCCTGTGCATATGAAAGGGCAGCTAATTAAATAATCACAGTGAATAATGCCTTCATTTAATTTAGCTTTTTCTGCTTCTTCCTAAACACCCACAAACAGCTGATGGGCTCATCTGGGGTGTTCACTGGAGCCTGGACTTTGCTGCCTTTTATTGAGCAGCACTTTCTACCATCCACAGCCCAAAGAACAGGAACGCTGCTTCCAACAGGAACCATTCCCAGAGGAAGGGCAATCCCAATCCCTTCCTGTCTTAGTGGAGTTGTTACCTTCCTAATCACTCTCTCCTCCCTGTGCTCTGGCCACCCAGCTCTGTTCCAAGCCAGCAGGACACTTGCACAGAGATTATTTCACACAAGGCTTTGGGCCAAACTCTTCTTGGGTGGTTTCTGTGATCAGCAGAGATAAAAGAAGAGGTTCTCTAAGTGGGGACAAAGCTCCTCTCTCTCCCCAGGAGTGGCACAGGAAGCCCAGAGAGATTAAACTCAGACTAAATTATCCCTGGTGAAAATCCCTTATGGTCTCATTCTTCCTCCCTGCCTGTGTGAGCACACAAATGCTGGAATAAACACTGGCTGAATACATTTAAAACTCATTTTAAAGGTTCCTGACATTAAAACATTCATTTTTTTTGTAGCAATCCCTTCAGGAGAGCTCAAACACTGGTGGTGGAGTTGACCACCAACAGAGACTGGGATGGTTTTCTCCATTCCCAGACAGGTTTTGGGGCAGCTGTGGCCTTTCTCCAGCTCTCCAGGTATTCACACCCCCTTCTCTACAGCCTGGTTTTGTGATCCACCTATAAAATCACTGCCATTAGAAAGTCTGCATTTTCTGACAGATGTGACAACAATAATCACAGCTATTTCCACTGCTAAGTACAGGGCAGAATTCTTATGTCTCAGGTACTATTTCATGAGAACTGTTGGCACTAGTGAATTTGTGACAACCAATCTGTGGAGTGTGTGCTAGGCTCCTCTTAATAACCAACAGCTCTTTTTTTTTTTCCCTCAGCTTTTAGGGATATTTTTTCTTTTTCACCCTTTTAAAAAATTGTTTTTGCAACACTGAACCATACTTCTTGCCTCTGCTAAAGGAAACACAACGTTTCTTTAGACCATCTCCTCAGGTCCAAACACCTCCAAGGCCGTTACTCGTTCTGATTTTCTTCAGATCTACCTTCCAACACGGTTCCCAAGCCCAGGCCAGAAGCAGAGAACTAAAGGGAAAGGGGCACCAGGGCTCTCAAAAGTGCTCCCACACTCTCAGCAGGGGCACTTGGGAAGGGAGAACAAAACCATTGAGCACAGAGAAGGCTTAAAAGTGCTGCACACACACACACGGACACGAAAGAAGGGGGGGAAAAAGAGAAAAGAAAGAAAAAAAACAAAGAACATCAGAAAAATGACTTTTTGTTTGTTTGTTTTTTGTTCTGTTGCCTTGCAGGTTTTGTTTTTAAAGCCCAGCTCTGAGTGTGATCAATAACCAGCTGCTGCGTATTAAATAAGGTCACTCCGTGTGCAGTTTGGATTAGGGAGGGAGGGAGTGAGAGGCAGCAACCCTCTGCTTTGCTAATCCAATAAACCATTTATTGCAGCGCTGACTTTCAAGTGCAATTACCCTGCTCCAGACCCTGCCTTGCAGCCTGGGTGTTTTCCTGAGTTCTCTCTTTGTCAAGAAGGCATCAGCCAGAATGAAGCGCTTGCTTGTTAGCAGCTGCTCGAAGGAATGCACCAAGGTCACTTCTTTGCGTATTTTTCAACCCAGCAGCAGCTGTTATCTCTGATCATCCAAATCTCCTCTTGTTTTATGGCCATGGCACTGCCCAGGTACCAAAATTCCCCTCTGCTGCACTCAGGGACCCCAAGGCTTGGCCATGTCAACACCGCTGATAAACCATGAGTTTAAACAGGTCCCTGGCATTTCTTCCAAAATCGTTAAAGTTGGTAAAGAACTCCAAGATCGAGTCCAACCTTCGACCAAACCCCTCCATGGCCACTAAACTCCATCACAAAGTGCCAGGTCTGCTTGTTTTCAGAGCATTTCCAGGGATGGTGACTGCACCACGTCCCCAGGCAGCCTGTTCCAAAGCCTGGTCATCCTTTCAGGGATGAAATTCTTCTATTTATCCAACCTGGACCTCCCCTGGTGCAGCTTGAGGCCATTTCCCTTTGTCCCGGGAGCAGATTCCAGCCCTCACCACACCACACCACTCCCTATTTCAGGGAGCTGCAGAGAGTGATGAGGTCTCACCTGAGCCTCCTTTTCTCCAGACTGAGCCTCCCCCGATGCCTCAGCTGCTCCTGGTGTTCCAGACCCTTCCCCAGCTCTGTTCTCTTCTCTGGACACCCTCCAGCCCCTCAAGGTCTTTCCTGGAGTGAGTGGCCCAAAACTGAACACGGGATTTGAGGTGCTGGATAAGAATTTGCCTCTACCCTGGGTTTTGCCTCCACCACTCCATTAAAAACCACTTTCATCCCAGCTGGTCCATAGTGCAGTGTCATTAATACTGAACCTTATCCACAATATCCACCCCTGCCCTCTGAGACTCAGTGGAGACCCTTTCTTCCTCCACTTTTACAGGCAGGATATATCCATGTATCCTGTGCTTTCTCCACCTGACTCCAAAGGTTTCAAACTCTGCCTCCATGCAGAGGTACCAGAACGAGCTCTTGCTCTCCTCATCTCTTTGTAAACAACTTCCTCCTTCCAGAACACAGCTGTTACCCACAGTGATAAATCAAATTCCTGCAGTGAACAACTGGGAGCAGAGATCCCTGCCTTTCCCAGCAGCAGGTAAAGGACAGAGCTCCTCTGTCTGCAACAACAAGCCAAGGAAGGCAGAGGAAAAAAACATCAGCCAGGCTGATCTGGGCATCTGATGAGAGCCAGAGTATCAGCCTGCCATTTCTGTCCCTTGCTCAGAGCACAGCAAGGCTCAAGGATAAAATCAGAGCAGGCTGCAGGCTCGTTCCTAGAAATGGAGAGGAGAGGGGCTCTCATCCTGCTGGGGGTGTTGGCAATGGAAAAACAGACACTGACAAAATTTTGGGAGTAACCCAAGAGAGAGCCCTGCCTGGGAGCTGCTGCCCCAGCCAAACCTCTGGGAGACACCAGGGTAGGGAGAAACGTGGAGTCAGCTCTTGAATTTATACTCCAGAGGAAACCAGGTAATACAAATCCTCTGGACTGAGGGATAGAGGCTGTGGAGAAGATAAAGAACCTCAGGGGGCAGCAGAATTTTCTCCTGCAGCAGAGGTTCTGCACTCATCTGTCCTACTGCATCCATCTGCTGCTCTGCTCTCTGCCAGACCTCCAGGACCCATTCCCTTCCATCACACACCTCTGCTGTCCCTGAGACACCTCTGAGACACCTGCCAGCCTTCAGACATGACCCCCCTGTCACCCAGCCCGTGCCACACTCAGCAGTTCTGAGTCTCTCTGCTGTCTCTAGGAGTTAGTGACCACTTTGCTCTCCGTCATTTCTGGGAGGATGCATCAGCCTGGCCTGAAGCCATTTTAACAAAGAGATGAACTTTTATCCTTCCTCCACAGCAACAAGGCTGCTTCATGGATTTTTGTGTCCTGCTGCACTGAATGACAGGGAAAAAAACATTAAATCAAGTGGGTTTTTTCTATTCATTTTGTTTAAATCTGTTCCTGCTTTTTGTCTGCATCCGCTGCCTGGTTATTGATCACAACCTTGGGTATTTTTGGTTTTTATTTCACTCTTTACTTAGATGTATTGATAAGGCATACCCTGCCCGTTCCTTCAGTTTCTTATCTGTTATTCCATCTTTGGATACAAGTTTGTTAAAAACCAGAATGCCAATAACCATGTTCACCTGTCAAAAGAGAAACAACACACAAGTTTTGTTCTCAAGCCGGTCAGGTCAAACTCGGTAACACAGAAGGGTTTCCTCCCAAATCCAGGTCCCACTTCTGCAGGCCACCACCCTTCCTGTCCCCTGTCCCCACCTGTCCCACCTCCCCTGGCCGTGCATCAGCGAGTCCAGGACAGCAGAATGCAGCTGGCAGCAGATCAAAGAGGCTGGAGAATCAAAAAGATTGGATAAGACCCCCAAGACCATCAAGTCCTCAATCAGATCTCCATGAAGCAGGAGAGACTGGGAATTTCTCAGATTGTTGCAGGGCTGTTTGAATCCCAGCATTGCCTGAGGTCCAGCAAGGAAAACTCCAGTCATGGCAACAATTTTTTGGGCTAATCCAAATGATTGTGGGCAGTACAGAGAAGAGCAGTGGGTTGACATTGGCTGCTTCCCAAAGAACCTTCTGGAGTCAGCGCTTCCCCAGCAGCAGCATTAAGAGAACGCAGACAACGTATCACAGTTCCTTCCTGGTGAATCAGCACTGCTGCTCTCAAAATAAGAGGTGGAAGAGCACTGGAGCAAGTAGAAACATCATCTGCTCTGGTGGGATGTCTTGGGGGATACTGCAGATGGCACAGCAGAGAGAATTCCCCCCAAAAATCAGTGTGCAATACAATTCCATGCAGTCTGTTTTCCTCAGGGCAAGAGCAGGGATGTCTGTGTCCATCAGCTACAAAAATCTACAGTGAAATAAGGCCTGGGAAGAGCTGAGATCCTGCAGAGTGACCCCAAACTCCTTCCTGTGCCTTCCCAACTGCATCCACTGCTGCCAGCTGCATCTGCTTTATAAACCCCATCTGCACCTCCTCAACATGTTAGCGACACACCAGCCCCAGCCCTGGTGTGGAGGCACTGATGGTGGAAAAAGGTGACATTCTCCTGGTTTTGCTGTCAGTGGAACAGCTGCTGGTGGTAGAAACTTGTGGTCGATGCTGTTTTGCATGTGGGGCTTGCAGGGAAACGTTTCAAGGCCAAATTCAGAGATAATTTCATGTGACTTTATGTGTTGGTGAGTTTAAGAGATCCTAGGAGGAGCCTGACCCAAAGGAAAGGACCAAACCTCTGCCTGATTCATCCTCAAAACAACCATCAGTCTTTCTGCTGGCTCCACCAGATCACTGATGTGGAGCCCACAGCTGGGGATCCATGGAAAATCTCATAAATTGTGATTATTTTTGTTTGCATCAGCTGCTGGGTCAGTGGGCAGCTGAGACCATTTCTAGAGTTCACCATGGTGCTGATTTAGAGAAACAACGCTGGCAAGGCAGGCACAGTGACACTGCCAAGGATCAGCAGGAAATCAAAGCCTGGTTATGAGCCTGGAAAGAGAGGGAGCGCTTTGAAATCACTGATCCTTCACTGTGTGGAGGAGCTGATGAGTGCAAGAAAGGCTTTTCCTTAAGGTGCAGCCAGGATGGAGGAAAGGTGGGGCTGAAGTGTGGCTGGATCTCTCCTGGCCAGAGTGTGCATCCTCATTCCTAAGGAGCAGGGGAGACAACAAAGAGCAGTTCTGCACTGGTTTTAATCAGTCAGTCAATCAATCAATCAATCAATCAATCAATCCAGTACACTGATCACCATGATCAGCATCCTGCTCTGATCCTCGCTCCACTTCTTAGGAAGGAAATCAGGGATACAGATATAAGACGGATATTTATCCAGGAATGTGCAGGGCAGCTTTATTCCATTGTCTGTGAGATAACATCCAGGAGCAAAGCCTCAAGTCAGAGGTTCCTGGAGACAACCACCACCTGACCACTGATGACCCTGTCCTGATTTCATTCCATGAGCCTCCCCCTGCCTTCAGCCTGCACACAACCATCACCAGGCTGCTCCACGTGAGCTGGGTGAGCAGAACTGCTTCCAACAGCTCTGTGTTTAAGGTAGATCAGGATTTTTAAGAATAAAGGTCAAACCTTTATCCTCAAAACCTGCAGCTGTTCGGTGTCAGTGGCCTGAGTTATGAACACTGCTGAACCTGCAGGCCAACCACCTTCAGAGTATTATCAACTTTTTGAGCTCACCTGTTTGCAGGTTCCCATTTATAAAAAGGCTTTCCATGCTTCTCCTTCCCCAAGCTCTTTGGTGTCTCTACCAGGGCAATATTCATTTGTCCCTTCGGCCAGGAGTGAGTCAGGGAGTCTAAATGAGCTGTGTGGCCTCTCTCTTGGTGGTGATCAGGGCTGGACACCCCCAGAGATGATTCACCACTTCCAAATATCAGCTGCAGGAACCACCATTTGCATGTGCTGACCCCCCTGCGAGGACATCTCATTTCCTCAGCTTTTTGGTGAGGGAAAACTGAGCTGGCAAACAGAAGCAGGCTCCTGTGTTTTCCTCACACTTTGAAAGTGCGAACGAAAAAGAGAAAGATCACTTCCCTTGCTGCTGGCACAACAAAAGCGAGGTGGTTTGAGGCAGCAGAGTGACTCTGGGCACTACCAAAGCTTCCTCCCTCCGAATCACTGTGTCACAACCCCACATGAAAGACCTCAACTCAAACCAGTTTTGATTTCTTGCAGAGGAGGGGCCACTGCTGGCTTTTCTCTTTGTCACCGTGATGAAACGATGGCACCAAGGTGGTTTGATGTGCAGTGACAGCGCTGAGAATAGAGGCAGCCCGAGCTTTTGTGGAGTTATTCTCCTGTAAGCTCCTGCTGCGGGGCATTTCATCCCCCAGGCACTGCACAAAACAAAAGCCTGAACTGAAAAAGGAATTGTGAGTGTCAACAACCCCATTCCTGCAGGACTCTCCAGGGCTCTGGAGCCTCAGAGGGCATGAAGCTCCCCCACTGGATAAAACAGTGGGCTGGAGAGAAACTGCAGAAAGATGTGGGGGCTCCAATGTGCCTTTAAACCCATGGGAAACTGCTGCAGGAGGGATTTCCTGGAGGAAGAGCAGTTCTCAGATTCCTTCAGCCCTGAGGTTTCTCATGGCTTCAGCAGCAGGGACGGAATGTCACCTCGAGTGACACCTTAAACTCAAATAATGGCTGGCCAAGGTTGGTGTTGGGGCTGTGTTGAAGCCAGGGGTGATGGGACAGATGAACAGACTCCTCATGAAGGAGCTGGAGATTGGGAATGACCACTTCAACCCTGCCATCTCTTTGAATTCAAAGCAAACATGAAATTTTTAGGGTCATTAGGGACCCCCCCTCCCCAGCACTGATTTGAAGATTTCAGTTTCACCTGCAAACAGGGAAATCTGCTCACATGCACTGGCCTGGGATGGACCAGGAATAAAAGCTGTCTGTTGAGGGCACAGCCTGGTCTGAAAACCACCAGGAAACAGCAATTTCTGAAGGAGTCAGTGTCAGAGTTTTCCACCATCTTCCTGCACTTCCACCCAGACAGAGCAAAACCAAGGTAAAACATTAATCAGATGTTAGGGTGCTCCTGTGAGGACAGAGGTGGAAGGCTGAGAGCTGAGGCATATTCTATTTCAGAATCCACCCCATCCCAAATTGTTGGCTTTGCTCGCTATTCCTGAGGGAGGAAGCTCTTCAAAACACAAGTGGAAATAAAGAAGGGCATTCTTGGGTTGAAAGAACAAGGGAACTGGTGTAAGATACAGAGGAGAAAAAAATAAAAAATAAAAAATATTTCAGGCAAGCTTAAATACCAAAACGACAGCAGCCGCCGGTCCCACGAAGGCATAGAGGAGTCCTCCCTCTAACGACAGCCAGCAGCTGGAAAATGAAGAGAGAAGATAAAGTCACCCAGTGGCAAATGTCCCCAAAAGGCACATGCTGGCTTCTTCCCTTTGCCTGCAGAGCTTAGCCTGGGAGGTGACACCCCATGACAAAAAATAATAAGAAAAAAAAAATCTCAGACTTTAAATCAAGCAACTTTTGCTTCCCCTTTCTCCAGAACTTGCATAAAGGCTCCTCTGCCTGGGGACTGCCCACAGGATGGCATTTGACAGGGGAATTCATGCAAAATTAAGGAGAGTGCTCTGTTTCAGACCAGGTCCTGGAAGCAGCTGCAGCATTTTGCTGGCAAGATGATGCTCTTGTCCTACTTATGTGGGAGAAAGAGTGGAAATTGTCCCCTGTTCATTTGCTGACCCCTGTGTCTTCCAGGGGCGCAGGACATTCCTTCCCTCCCTTTGAGATTGCCTCCATGGGGAAATTTAACAACACAGCAGCAAGGTGGGAATTCACAGCATTCCCTGAGTGGAATTTCTTATGGAATGAGCTGAATGTGAGGTGTGTGGTGCCTCTTCTGGAGACCAGTTTGTTCCTCTTCCCTCACACCACACAGGACATCTCCCTTCTGCACTGACCAGATGTGGAATTTGGGCTCCTGAAATGCCTGGTGCCTTCTCAAACTGAGGGAGCTCTCATTGGAGAGCTCCTGGTTGTGGAAGTGCCCAAGGCCAGGCTGGACAGGGCTTGGAGCAGCCTGGGATAGTGGGAGGTGTCCCTGCCCATGGCAGGGAGTTGGAATGAGATCACCTTGAAGGTCCCTTCCAACCCAAACCATTCTCTGACTGTTTTTCAGGTTTGACCGTGAACTCAGGAAGGAAACACTTCTTTTTTCCCCTGTGAAAGGATGAGCAGAGCACCTGTGAAATCTCTACCCTTGGAGACACTCAAAAGCCACCTGGGCACAGCCCTGGGGCAGCCACCTCCAGGTGACCCTGCTTGAGCAGGTGGTTGGACAAAAAAATCCTGAGGCCCTGCAACAGCCACGAACATCCCCAGCAGCACTGGAGATGAAATTCCCTTTATTTTTTTTTTTAAATATATTTTTTTATTTTTTTAATTTTTTCTTGTGGGGAATCCAGCAGTTCAGGGCATGGACACACAAATTAAGTGCTCCAGGGCAGGAGAGGATGGGAATTTACACTGCGTCAGCAGCCCCTGGGAAAGTCTGCACGCTTTAACAGGGCAGAACCCTGGAGAAAATGTGGGATGGAGTAATCCTGTTTCAGCAGAAAATGACCGTGCACTCACCACAGGAGAAGAGCAGGAAACCACAATGGAGAGGGAACTTTCTCCAAGCTCTTAACTCAGCTCACCCTGCAGTAATTTGATTAAATTTAAAATTTTTAGGTTTTAATTTTTAAAATGTTAATTTTTTTTCGCCCCAAAAAAACAAGGAACATTTCTGAAAAGGCACCCCAAAAAAAGGGAAGCATTTCAAACTGAGAATTAAAAGTAGGATATTCTGGTTTTCTCCAAGGTCTAAATCTTGTTTATGTCTAAAGGTCTAAATCTTGTTTATGTCTAAATTAAACCTGTAATGTGCTAACTTAATCAATTCTGATTTCTTCCTGATAGCAAGTTGCTCTGTCACAAGCTGTCTGAGCAGCTGTAATGATAAAATGAATAATCAGCTGAGGAGGGAGGGAGTAAAAACGAAGCTTTGGAGCTCTGTAATGACTGGAGGTCTCCCTAAATGCAAGAGGATGGCTGCCAAATCCCAGTCCTTGTCCAAACCTTTTTATCCAACGCTCTCATCCTGATCTTTCAGGTGTTTTTTTCTCAGTGTCTCTTCCATCTGGTGGCTCAGATGAAGGAATGTGACAGTCCTGCGCTGCAATTAGTGACGAGGACTTGGTGCAAAGAGGGTTCTCGCTCCTGAGGGGTCCCTGGCAGCCCCTGCTCCCCCGGGAGCAGCGGGAATTGCGAAGGTGAGATCACACATCACCGGCCCTGATCCCTTCTGACTGCCTGGCCTCCCTGCCACAGCACTTCATCAAAGCGTTTCCCAGGCTGTCAGAGGTGCCAGCAAGGGAAAGGAAAGGGTGAAGGGATGTCCAAGAGACAGAACTGACAGCAAACCCCAGCCGAGTGGAGATGCTTTTAGCCTCGTGCCTACGAGGCACAGAAATATTTGCATTTAGCTAAGAGGTTCCCTTGTACTTTCCAAAGGACCTCTTCAGTGATTTTTTAAATAAAATTATCACTGGAAGGGAGGAAGTGAATGGTTTAACAATTCCTAGGCAGCGTTTCCTCGACTGACAGCAGCTCTTGTGTCCAGCACAGTAAAAACCCTTTTTGCAAACCATCTGATCTTTTTGTGACTCTGCCACGGCACAGATGGGAAGTGGTGGCTTTTGTCCTGGTCCTGGGGAGGGCTGGCTTCCACCACTGAGCCCTTTTCCACACTGTCCAGCCCTGCCAGCAGCAGCTCTCACCTCAATCCTGCTTAAAACTGGGCAGCACCAACAGAACATTCTGTAAAACTGAGCTTACAGCCAGGAATCGGGGCTGGCCCACCAGTGTTTATCCAGAGATTAACCCAGAAGCTGCTGAGACACCTGTGGGTCACCAAAGCCCTGACGCAGTGACACCCCAGGACCCTGAGAAATTCGCTGTGTGCAGGCTGTGCTCTCCAAAAACTTTTGATGGGCTCTCCTGTGGGGGAGGATGTGAGCTCCCAGCGCCAGTGGCACAACCTCAATTATTCACTTCAAGCTTTAGGAGGTTGTTTGTGAAGCTTTAGAGGGCCAGAGGCAGTCCCTGGAGCAGCAGCTAAAAGCAGAGTTATTACTCAGGCACTCAGCCTAATCTAAGGAGGCGATCAGTGGCAGGTCCTTTAGACCTCTGGTACCCCTCAGACTTTCTTTGAGATTGCAAGTGCAGCCTTTACCCTGCCCCAGCATGTTCCACTCAACAGCAAAATGTACTTCCAAACGCAGTTCAGACAAGAGAAAGGAAAAATGCCCTTGTTGGAGTGTCCTGAGCAATAAAGGTTGAGTGAATGGCTGCTGGGAATCCCCACTCACACAGCAACACAGACACCAAATCCTGCAGCACACCTTCAATTTTTAACCTGAACTCGACTCAGGGCAGTCTGGCCTGCTAAATGGTAAATATCAAACATACTGCAAGCTCCCTAAACTCACCACTGGCTCTGATCTCTCTGCATTAGAGCTTGGAGACACGGCCAAGCCTTTGATGGGACAATTCTTGGTGGGACAGACTCGGGTCCTGCTGCTCAGCTGTTTCCATTGTTAGAGAAAAGCTTCATCCCATGTTCAGTAAAAAAGCCAGGACCAAACTGGGTGAAATCCCGCTGAGATCCCAGGGTGAACATCCTGATGGAGTTTGTTCCACTGTGGTTGGGCCACCTTTGGCACATCCTGAAGATGCAGCTGGACTGGCAGTTCCAGCCTCAAGACACATCACGCATTTCACACCCTGACCCTTCCACCAGCCTCACCCCGAGAATCTTTAACACCAAGATTAATTCTGCAATGCCTTCAACACTTGCAGCTGTCCCCAAAATGCCCTCATGACCATGTCCTGTTAGTTGGATATCAGGGGTTTTTTACCACTGTAAGTTGTGAAAAAAAGAGGAAAAAAAAGAGAAGAAAAAGAGAAGAAAGCCTGCTTTCACTGTTGAGTGTTAAATTCTGTGTTCTCCTAAATATCCAAGCCCTGCTTTGAGTTTGAGTCCACCTCCACCACTGGAGCTCCTGCACTGCTCTTGGGACCCAGAAATTGTGGGGTTGGAACATGCTTTAAAAGGCTCTTTGTGGTTTATTTTTATGTGGGTTTTTAAAAGTCCCTTGTGGTTTATCTTGTCACCTCTTGTTCCCTCTTTCCCAGGGAGGGATGTGCTGTGATAAAAGCCTTCCCTTCCTTCTGCGAGCTGGAAATATTGAGCTTTGAAAGTCTGCAGTGCCCACTTGCCCCCTGAGTGCCCACTGGAGACAAAACTGGGCTGAAAAGTCCTTCAAGATCACCTGGTTCCACGCCCCTGCCATGGGCAGGGACACCTTCCACTAGCCCAGGTTGCTCCAAGCCCTGTTCAAACTGGCCTTGGACACTTCCAGGGATGGGGCAGCCACAGCTTCTCTGAGAATTCCATTCCAGGGCCTCCCCAACTTCACAGAGAATAATTTCTTCCCACTGTCCAAGCTAAACCTTAAGTTTTGGAGTTCAGCTCTGAAACTGCTGCTGTGAGGTGCTGACTTTGCTCTGGAGAAGAGGTGAAACCAAGGGCCTCCCCACACAGGAGTGCAACAGAGCTTTTGATCCTTTCTGAGCAGGAAAACAGGGCTAAGTGTGAATGCACTCCAGTCTGTCGGGGCGCCCTGCCCGGCTGGACCCACAGAAGTATTTGTTTCGTGCTTTAAAATGCACAAAAGTGTAAATGCAACTCTCATTACAGACATGCTTCATTTTATTTAGCATCAGGGCTTGTGAACCCACACCTCCCCTCAGTGCAAGTCAGCTCTGTTTAACTCTGGCTCTTGGCAAAGCCAGTTCCAGCAGGAATTCAGAGAATCATGGAATGGTTTGGGTTGGAAGAGACCTGAAAGATCACCTTATCCCATCCCCTGCCATGGGCAGGGACACCTTCCACTATCCCAGGTTGCTCCAAGACCTGTGCAACCTGGCCTTGGGCATTTCCAGGGATCCAGGAGCAGCCACGGCTTCTCTGGGCAGCCTGTGCCAGGGCTTCACCACCCTCACAGGGAAGAACTTCCCAATATCCAATTTAAATCTAATCTATCCTCCTTCAGCTCAAAGCCATTTTCCCTTGTCCTGTCTACCTGGCCCTGGAAAAAGTCCCTCTCCAGCCTTCTTGTGTATCTTTTAGGTACTGGAAGGCACCAAAATGTGGAATTACAATAGGATGGCAGCGTTGGGGATGTCTGATGGGATCTTTGAACTTGAGAAGAACTTTTCTTCTTCTCGTGACTTTGGTGGGACTCACCAGCTTCACCCCACATTGAGAAATGTGGAAAGGAGGCAAAAGGAGGGACCACAGAACCATGGAATATCCCAGAAAAGGACTCACGAAGATCACTGAAACCAAATTCATCAAACTGGATTGGCTGGGGTGTTAAGGCCCCACCACCCATCAATTTTGGTGACAAAAATCCTGAGAGCAGAGCTGGGAGCATGAGATCCCCTTCCATCCCCTGGCACCCAGCCCTTGAACACAAGGAGTGACAGAGTCTTTATGGCTGAAAGGAGCCAGAGGACTTGGAGCAAAAGGATGAGAGCTGGTGTGACCAGACAAGCCCTGGGAACGCTGCAGAGTCAGCCCAGCCTCTTGGCCACCTCACCCTGCACCAGCCTGAGAGCAAAGCAGGAGCCCAGCAGGTTTTGTCACATGTTGACACCCTCCTGGCTGCAGTCTGCAGGGTGGGAGATGCTGGCACAGTGCTCCAGGGCAGAAAACAGGGATTGCTTCCCTGCACGCCCCTCCCTTCCCTGCCCAAGCACTTTTCTGTGCTCAACCTCGTCCAGAAATCTCTTAAACGTTTTTGACAGAGCCACAAAGCTTGTTGTACCTATTCCCACCAGTCTATAAATGAAAAAAAGAGAAGCAGAAATATCCAGGGCCTCCCTCCCATCTCCCTGAGGCTTGTTCATTATGAATTGTTCTGGTGGATGTGCCTGGAGCAAAGTGCCAGAAGCGGCTGACCCATGGAAAATCCAGAGGGAATTAATTTGGGATCTTGGTGATATTTCTGCAAACCAGGCTGTGTTTTGTCCTCTCCCGAGTCACACAACAACCACTGTGTCCCTCTCCACCAGGACACACTGAAGGTGGGACAGCCAGATGTCAGCACAGACTTCAGGAACTCCGTCTATGGATTGGCACTCGAGAAATCCACGATCCTGAACCCTCTGTCATGCGAGAATTCAGGTCGCAAAGCGAACAGCAAACGCTGCTGCGCTGCTTTAATTCTCCCCTGCAATTAAGATGCAAGCCCTGGACCATTTGGCCGTGGGTGTGCAGGATGTGGTGGGAACTGAGGGAGAGCAGGAGGTTCCACATGACATTTCCTCAGTGGGACGATCGAAGCCACATCAACAGCTCCAGTCTCAAACATCGCCCGTGTGGGCTGCAAACCCCTGCCCAGGAAGGCTCTGGAAAATGATGGGATGTAGTAGGAAGAGCCTGACTTATTGCTGCATAAAATATTATCCTTGAACTGCCTCTATGCATAAAATTTCTAAGTTTTTTCGCAACAGAGGGAAAAAATATTTTCCCTTTTTTTCTTTTTCATTTAAAGTCGTATTAATGCTCAGCTCTGAGTGAGCCCAGCCTTGACTTAATGCATTTTTTACCTCTTCCATTATTTCTTTTTTGTTTTCCTTCCCCTTTATGAGCACATAAAAGCTTCCTAAAGACAAAACCCATGGAATATGGAAAGCAGGCAAACACAATCTGCTGTCAAAACCTTGGTTTGCACAAGTCAGGCTCATTCTGCTGCCTAAAACTGAGATGAGCTATTTGGAAAACGTGAGACCAACCAAGTAAAAAAACAGATTTAAAAAAAAAAAAAAAAAAGGTGACTTTAATTTTTAAACATCCTAAAGTTAAAATATTCTACATTTTTCCCCTTAAAAAATACATTAAAAAGCTCTAAGTAAAAGGTATTGAGATGAAAGTGATGTCACAAGTACAGCAGTTAAACCTAATTAGTCCCTATGGACTTGTTTTTTAAGGAACACATGATCCAGCTTGGTCAGATGATGGATTGAGGAGGCAGGAATTGTCCTGCACATGGAAATGTAGCTCCCAGCCTGCCTCCTGTGTGTCTGACTGGGTTTTGACAACAAGGATGGAGGATAAAACGTGAGGAAAAAGAGGAATCCTTTACTCACTAGTTCACGGTGCCGTATCCCTTGGCTTTAGTGAATCCCACGGAAATGGCAACCACCAAGGCAGGGAGCCCTGTGGAAACGAAACAGGAGGAAAGAGGTAATTTAATCACATGTTCAGCCCTTCTCCCACTCAATATTCCCCGTTTTTCCTGAGTTATTCCAGCACCATCCACTTCAGCCTGGCTCTGTGGCAGAGACTGAGCTCAGGACCCTCAGAACTGAACCAAAGAACTTTAATCACCTCTGTTATTTAAATAAACACCATGAGCTGCAATCAGCTCCTGCCCTGCTGCGGTCTCAGTTGTGGGGGGGTGGGTCTTTCAGTAGATTCAGATGGATAAAATTGATTTTTTTTATTCTTCGGTACTTCATGGTGTCTCTGAAGTTGGAATATTCAGTCACAACTCAACTTCATGAACCCAAAGATGAGGAGCTTTGTTTGCACTCAGTGTAGAATGAGCAACCCAGGTTCAAATCTGCCCCAAATGAGACAGAAAAGGAAATTAAAACAGAGTTTCCCTATCCCAAAGAGATCCTCCAAGATCTGTAATGGAGCAGGCTCCTCTGAACAACAATGAGAAAGAGTTTCAGGTCTCTTCCAGGATCTATGAAGGTTCAAAGTCCAGCTCTCCCCTTTCCAAAAGGATCAAATGTCTGGAGATCAGCTCAGAACATCGGGTTCTTCAACTTTGGAGGTCTCCATGTGGCTTTTTATAGCTCTCCTCTTTGTGGCAGGAGGAATTAAGCTGTCTCAACGCTAAAGATGGGAAAATCCCATTAGGAATCAGCAGGATCAGTAGCCAGCTGGGATTAGTGCCCTAACTCGTGAGCTGCAGAGGTCACAGCAGGTGACTGCAGGAGATCCCAGGAATGTGCAGGCACAGCTTCCAAACAACATTCCTCTGGGAATGGGGTCCCTCAGCAACACAAACCATCCCAAGGCTGATTAATAGTGAGGCTCTGCAGCAGCTGGGAGCCACAGGGCCAAGCTGGCTGGAACGTGGAGCGTTTGAGGGTTATCCTGCAGGGAAGTGCTTCTCTTCCCATGTGAGATTTCCAAGCACAGGTCACATTTCATCAGTCCAAACTCAACAGGCAGTGGATTTAAAAAGCGTCTCTTTTAATATTCATTTCTGTTTCCTTTTCCATTTTCCTTTCATCTTTTTCCTTTCCTTTCCTTTCCTTTCCTTTCCTTTCCTTTCCTTTCCTTTCCTTTCCTTTCCTTTCCTTTCCTTTCCTTTCCTTTCCTTTCCTTTCCTCTTTTCCTCCTTTTCCTTTTCCTTTTTTTTTCCTTTTCCTTTTCTTTCTCTTCCTTTTTCCTTTTCTTTTTTTTCCTTTTCTTTTTCCTTTCCTTTCCTCTTTTTTCTCAGTTTTTCCCCTCACTGGCTCTTGCTCCTCTCGCTGAGCCTCCTTCACACCTCATCTGGATAAATCCTGGCTGATGCATTCCCTACACATATCCCATCAATGCAGCATCCCACAGGAAGAAACCACATGGGGAAAGGACATTTTCAGGAATCCAGCTTTGTGCAAGAGACCCTGGGAAAGACAAAATTTGGCAAAGACTCCGCCAAAAATAGCAACTTGTTCTTCGCAAAGTGCTTCTCTCCAATGTGGTAATTATGCAGAAATCCAGAGTGGGGCTGTGAACTTGGCAGCTCCAGGGACTGGATTGTTCCAAAGCTGGGTAAAAGCCTCAGTTTGGGCTGGGAATGGGTCTGGACAAGGAGCAGCTACTACAGGTGGCAGCTATGTCATGGTGGTTGAGCCAAAGAGCATCACAATGAGAGGTGCAGCCCTGGGAGAGCTGTCAGTGGTCTAAGCAAAGTTAGGTGGGATTAAATTGATTAAACTGAAAAAATCCCCACCAAAAAAACCAAATTTTAATTGATTTTTTTTTATGATCATCAAGACATTTATTCCTAACTGGCCTGTTCCACACACCTGGTGTGGTACCAGCAAGGCTTCGGGGACTTTCTGCGCAAAGGGAATAATTTAACACAATTCCAAGCAATCCCATCCAAATCCTCTTTCCAAGAGTTTTATACTTCCAGGTCACAGGAGAATCAGGCCATGTGTTAATCATGTTCCACTGGAGACGATGTTTGCTAATAATTCCCAAGCGCCATTTGGGTTATAAACAGCTGAAGACCCACTCAGAGGCTGAGCTATGGCAGCATTAAAAATCCAGCTGTGGAAACTATAACAGGGTCATAAAAATCCTGACAAAAAATATTTCTTCTTTATTGGGGCTAAATATGATGACTGAGTTGTTCCCAGGGAACAATTTATCTGTCTACTCTAAATCAGAGAGTATCCTGAATTGGAAGGATCCACAAAGATCATCAAGTCTAGCTCCTGACCCTGCATAGGATCACCCAAAGGAGTTGCATCATGAACTTGAGAGCATTGTCCAAGCATGGACAAGAATCATTAATGACAACAATTATTACTAATAATAATTTCAAAAATCGAATTGCAAAGTTGCACATCCAAGAGGAGACCAAAGAAATAAAAAATAATCCTCCCTGCTGCTGAAATTCTCTGCAGCTTCAATGAGCTACAGCTGAGAGCAGCTGAGAACTTGGCAAAGACGTCCTGAACAACGGCTTACAGAAATGCAAATGTGCAAAGAGGGGAAAGGGGGGAGAATCAGCCCATGACAAAGTGAATTGTGCTAATTATTTCAGATTATGCTCTTTAAAACATATTTTCGGCTTCTTTCCTCTTACAAGTGCCATTAATCCCAGCTCTACAGCTGAAGTCTAGCAGGATGCTAAATATCCAAAATTCCCTTGCTGCCTTAATAGGCAAGAGTGTTCTTCATTTCTTGTCCTAACCTACTCCAAATGGTTATTATGCATCATTTATCAGCAGTGCATCCTAGCTCAGAGCTGACTACATTTTACTAGCAGTGCAAATTATGCTTCTACACATGTAGGGGGATTTTTTTATTTTTTTATTTTTTTTAATCTGTACAGACTACAAATGTGAATGCTGCTCATCCAAAATTCCCTTGGCTAACACGCCCATCTGTCCCAGCTTTTACAAATCAAAAAAAAAAAAAAAAAATCCCTTTTTATTACCTAGGAAAGCTATTAGTGTGTTACATTTGATATTCCTGATGTTGCTGGAGTCACCAAGGAGGTATAAACATATGCATGAGCACACCCAGGCTCCTGCAGCCTGTCCTCTGCAGGTATTGTGGTTCTGCTCCTGCTAACACGCAAACCCTGGATTTTAATAACACAATTTATTCTCTATTGTAAGCAAAAGCTTAGGAGGGAAAACTTAAAGGGATGAAGGTGCCGCAATGAGGACAGCTCTTGATGTGCCAGAATAAATCACATCAGGGTGCTTGGTAAGCACCAGAAATCTCTTGCCTGGGGTGAATTGTGAGACTTCAGTAGTAAAATGAGACATTAATAGAGCTCAGCCGCACTCCTTTCTTTCCTCTGCCTCCTCACTTCTCAGCAACTTTTTGTGCCACCGCTCCTTTCAAACACACCCTTGTTATCGCTTTGAAAGCCCAGGTTTATGGGGTTTGTATTTGTTTTCTACTACAGAATGCATCATTTAAGGCTAATAAATTAAACATACGGCAGAGGCAGAGGGAGAAAAATTAGTTACAAGCATCTGCAGCAGTCTCGCAGTTTATTTGTCTCCGAAAGGCGCTGCTGCCATGGAGACGGGATTTTAGAGTTTGCTTCACTCCAGGTTGCTCTGCAGAATCTTGGAACCATAAAATCATTAAGGCTGGAAAGACCTCGAGAGTCATTGAGTCCAGTCAGGTCCACCACTAAACTTTGGCCCTAAATGTCACTTCTTCATGGGTTTTTGAGCGCTTCCAGGGATGGTGGTTCCATCACTTCCCTGGGCAGCCTGTTCCAATGCTTGGCCATCCTTTCTGTGATACAATTTCCTCTATTGCCCCATCTAAACCTCCCCCTGGTGCAATTGGAGCTGTTTCCTCCTGTTCCATTACTTTTACCTAGGAGCAGAGCCTGGCCCCCTCTGGTTGCACCCTCCTGGCAGGGAGCTGTGGAGAGCCAGAAGGTCCCTTCTGATCCTCCTCTTCTCCAGGATGATCCCCCGCAGCTCCCTCAACCACTCCTGGTGCTCCAGACCCTTCCCCAGCTCCACTGCCATCTCTGGACATTTTCCAGCACCTCAATATCTTGTAGAGAGGAGTCCAAAAGTGACCCCACAATTCGAGGTGTGGCCTCAGCAGTGCCCAGCACAGAGGGACAATCCCTGCCCTGGTCCTGCTGGCCACAGTGCTGCAGATCCAGGCCAGGATTCCCTTGGCTGGTATCATGTACCAACAGAACACGTCCAACACGGAAGGAGACAGACAGAGAGAGAAAAGTAGAAAGCAAGAAACAGACCCAACCCCAGGAGAAACCACCCCTGGAGCACCCTCTGAAACCTCGACTCCTCCATTTTCTGGTGCACTGGGCAGGAGGTTCAGCTTATGGCTCTCTATTTTTAACCATTTCAGCCCTTCCTGAAACCCCTGGAAGGGTTCCAAGCAGCCTCTGCCAAGCCTCCTGAGGAGCACCAGCCCCTCCTGCAGCCTGGCCCTTCTCAGCTGCGCAGCCCCCGGATCCTCACCCCATCCGAGACACAAGAAGCGCTTGCGGATGATGCGGTTCCGTAACCGGCCCGTCACGGCCATGTAGGATTGCCAGGCCTCGGTCAGCACCCAGCAGAAAGAGGAGAGGAAGAAGAAGTGCAAGAAAGCCGCCACCAGCGTGCAGATCACCTGGAGAGAGGAGGAAAGGAGGACACGTGAGAGGAGCGGCAGGAGGAGAGAGCAGCAGGGAGCAGAGCAGAAGGCGCGGGGAGACGCTTCCAAACCGGGCTCTGGAAGGAAAAGTCATGGAGATCAGGACATGGAAATACTGTTTGAGAGGGGGCAGGCTCCTCCACAAGCTTTGTCCTAGCAAAGAACAAAGCTTTAAACTTAAGTACTATGTGGAAATCAGCTGCTCTTAAGCGTGAGATTTATGATAAGGCCATGGTTAACATTGTAGGAGAATTGTGGAATTATAAAATTGTTTGAGTGGGGAGGGACCTTAAAGATCATTTAATTACAACCCCCCCTAATAAAGGCAGGGACACCTACTAGAAATCTGAGCACACATCCCACCCTGGTGCTTTCTTGGCTTCAGCAGGATTTATTTAATTTCCAAAACACCCAAACTATTGCCATGATCCTTTCAAGGCAAGGGGGGATGGAGTCGTTAGTAAACAGTGCACTAATCTCAGCTCAAAAGGTTTGTGAAGCACCACACGTCCCTGGCAGCCCAGCCATGGAAATGAAATCCGAGGAAGGCAATTTGGATGGTGGCCCTGCCAGAAAAACAGGGCTGAGTGAAAGAGTTAAGCCGTGAGAGCTGGGTGAAACCATGGCTGCCAGGGGCTGGGAAACGACTGCAAACATGAGGGCACAGTTGTCCAAGAGCACATAACTACCAGCAGGGAGGAGATAAAAAAAAGAAAAATATAAAAAAGAAAGAAAAACCCCCCTAGATCAGAAAGAATTTCATAATGGTGAGCTCTACTAGGTGGGGAAATCTCACAAGGGAAGTGCAGGCAGCTTAAGCCATTTAAAATTAAACTGGGGAAAGAACTGGCAAATGCATTATGAAGAACAATCCTGGAGTGCCAGGGAGATGGACTGGAAAGCTGACAAGCTCGTCTTTGTTTTAACTCAGCAAGGCCAAATCTTTCACTGGTGCAAATTGGTGCCGCTCTGTTTCACTCAGCCAGTTTTCCCCCCATCTGTGAGCTGAAAACTGTGAATCAATGTACTTGAGAAGAAAGTGATAGGAAGAAACTCCAGCGGCTCCCAAGGAGAAGGGAGAGCAAATAGATTTTAAAAGTGACTCTGGATGAAAAAAAAAAAATTGCTTCAGGCATTTGTGGGAGGGGGAGGTTTATAATCAAGGATTTCTTTGCTTTGAGTTATATGGGGAAACATGGACTTGGCTTTACGGTCAATGAACCTTTCTCTTTTTTCTCTTTTTTCAACCACCAGCATTTTTCAAGCCAGAGCTCTCATGCACAGAGTGGCTTTTATCATGATTTTATCGGATTGCTCTCGATTCATCCACTGGCACCACCCGACGTTATCAGAGGCTGTGAATAAAAGCAAGACCGTGTGTTCTCTGAGATAGGAACTGTCTTTTTTGTTCCAGATTTGCATTTGACACCAAATCCCTCTGTATTCTGCTTAGAAGTGGATACGGGATGTCAGTTCAGTCCAAATAACACAGCTCAATATGATAATGTCCGGTAATTTTCACATTTTACAAGAATCCTAAAAAAAAAGGTGGTTCCTATTTATCAGCTAACAAACCCCATAGGAAACAGCTACAAACAGAGGATGCTTTCTGGAATGGATTTTAAGAGATTGTTATTTTAGAACCTTTTTCCTTTTTGACTGATATCAGGTACAACACTGTTCACGTTACCTTTTTGATTTTGTTTCAAACCAACACAGTTCTTCCTTGTAAAGGGCAGAGAAAAGCTTTGCTTTACAATTTTACACCACAGAGATACATTTGGGTTTGTTTTTTTTTCTCAAATGAGTAGCTTTGATAGAAAGGGAAGAAGAGAGAGGGGGAAGACAAGAGAAATACGCACATCTCAGCTGGACCAGGATGAACTCATCACCTCAAATGAACTTGGCCAACTGATAGGCAGGCAAATATTTGCTTCCTCTACAACCTCTGCTGCAGGTTTTCCCTTCCTTGTGGGGAAAACCAAACATCCCCATGAAGGGCTCAGCACAGGGATGTGATGTCCCAAGACCCAGTAGAGCATGTCAGTCTGTCAAGGCCATTAGCCCTTGTTTTCCTTTAAGAGGAGAAATCTGTTTCCTTCCAGCACAAGCCTCGAGACACGGACACTTCCTGCAGCATCCCTTTCCTTTGTATACCCAGATTGCTGACTGTAATTTTTTTAGCCTTTTCCCAGGCCTTTCATCTTCAAAAAGCTTAGCAAATCCAGGCGTGGAATCTCGCCTTTGAGGTTACACAGATGGAAATCCAGGGAGAATTTGACATTTCCAGGGAAGCCGATACCGCAGAAATCTCCTGGAGAAGCCGCAATTATAAATCCATCACCAACATTTTAAGGCGCTCTATTATCGATAATTGAATGTGAATAAAATCTTAATTTACACTCCTTCGTCTCTCCTCTGTATAGTTTTCTTTCTCTGTTGCCTGCCAGAGACTGTTTACTAGATGGCTGAGAGGAAATCCAAGAATAACCTTTCTATTTCTGGGCTTTCATGCATATGGATGTGCAAAGAGCTAATCTGCCTCCTGCCATCGCTGCCGGGAGCTTTGAATCCCCACCAACAGCTCCAACAGTGAACTCCCAGAGTCACGGGACAAAAAAAAACCACAGGGGAGAACCTGGGTTCATAAGTGTGCTCTGGAGGAGGTGGGAGAGGAGGAACACTTCCAGCTCCTCTCCTGAGGTGAAGAAGAACCACCAAAGAGGAGGTCCAGCCGTGGTTTGTCCTGTTGAGAGTCCCTCAGTGTTTCATTCCATGGAAAGAAGCTCCCAGCACATGTTTGGTGTGGCAGAAAACACAACCAAGGAAAGCAGGAGCTTGGGTCACTCTCTCTCCACCTCTTGCCAACCACGTTGGCGAATAGAAGACAACTCTGCTTTGGGAATGGAGTTTCTGAAGGGCACTTTGTAGGAGGAGCAGAGCTGGCTGCTTGTTTCCACACTTGTCTACACACACAGGGCTCCAGCAGCTGGAAAGCTTTTGCTAAAACAACCTAACCCTAACCCAAAGGGCCTTCCATAGAAATGAGTCCCTGATTCACTAAATCCTTCAGCTTCTCTGCAGGAATCAAAATCATAGCATGAGTTGAGTTTTGGGAGGGACTTCAAAGATCATCTCATTCCAACCGCCTGCCATGGGCAGGAAGATTTTCTCCTTGCTCAAAGCCCCGTTCAGCCTTGCCTTGAACACTTCCAGTGTTGGGGCACCCACAACTTCTCTGGGCAACCTGCTCCAGGGGCTCTCCACCCTCACAGAGAAGAATTTCTTCCAGATATGCTTCCAACAGTGACACCGTGCTCACACTGCCAAAGCAGGGGCTCAAAAAACCCAGCTAGTCACCGGTTCCTGTTAAGCAATAACTAATTTTTGGCTTCTGACTGTGATTTTGGCAGCAGGAAGAGTGGAGGAGGTGTCTTGCCTCACGTTTTTTAGCTCAACAGAGTTATGATGGTCGGAGGATTTGGGAAGATGGGAAAATTTACAGCGGGAAAATACTAATGGTGAGCAGTGATTTGTCATGCCAGACATCAACAGGGAACCCAAAAGAGCTTGAGCTGAGGGAAAAAAGTCATGGAGGCAACGCACGCCTCTCCAGCTGGGTCTGTGGGAAGAGAGCAACCAGTGCTCATGGCTTGGAAAACCATGCTGGGTCTTGCCTGGAATGCTGAAGTCACTCTGGGATCTGCTCCGAATCCCTGGTGGCCCTGCAGTGCTCACGGTGCATCTGGCAATGCTTCCCATCCCCAAAAAAGGTTGGACAGTTTTGTGCCTGTGTTCATTAACATCTGCCAAGTACTTTCAGCTCAGAGAATAAAAAAACTGCTGGAGAAATAAATGTAAAGCTGAGAGGCTGTTTGTTTGGGGGTTTTTTTAAAGGCCCTTTCTCAATCTGTCTTTGTAATTTTTTTGAAAATAAAATGGTTAAAGCCTTGCAAATCACCACGCTTCTTCACCGTGCCATGTGCCAGCTACTCTAGGCAGATATTCAAAAATATCACATTGGTTTTAATCAAAGCCCTGAGGATGCTGACAAATTATCAAAGAGAGAGCGAGAGAGAAAATTGAAATCTGCCATTTAGCCGTGTCTTTGACATGTCGCTAATTAACAGATGGAGGAAAAATGAGGAAGCGCTGCCTGAATGGATCATTTCAGTGTTAAATCAGGGGGAAAGCAAACAAATAAACAAAGCCCCGGCAGATCCCTTACCTTATTCCGGGTCTGGGTCTGTCCGATCAGGATGAGAGCGTTGGAGGAGATGATGGAGAGGCAGAAGTTGATGAGGATGACGGAGCGCTCCGAGCGGATGTACCTGCAGTGAGAGAAGAGGGGAGGGAGACCCACCCTGTCACAGCCTGCCCTGGGTGACCTCCAAAAAGCAACAATCCAGGCCAGGCTCTACAGAATTGCCAATTTCCTGCAGATTTTATGTGCTAGACAGACAAGAACAAGGAGGGAAGGGAGGGGGAGAAGATGTCTCCATCATCCCCCCATCAATGCTGGAGTTAGGAGGCAACAAGCAAGGGGCCAGCCTAGCCTAAGCCCCTCCTAAAACAGTAGAGTGCTGCAAATCTTCTTCAGCTCTGCCTACTTGAAACGGGGGCTTGAAAAGGAGCTTGAAAGAAAACAAACAGGCAACACACGGAAAAGATTCCCAACCAAGAGCCACAGGCATGCTGGCGATGGAAGCAGATTACAAACACATGCACCTTGACAACAAAGTGTGTGTGATTCAGCATTCCCCTTCCTTCAGCCTAACAACCTGGGGTGAGAAGCATTTCCAACTTTATTATTTATTTATTTTTGGGGTTTTTTTTTTTTTTTTTTTTTTTTTTTGGCTTTTTTTTGTACCACTTCTCCAAAAACTAGGCCAAATATGTAACTGCAGCTGTGGGTTTGGGACATCAGGGACAGCAGTTAGGGAGCTGTTGCCTTCAGCACCTTGCAGGAGCCAGCTATTTGTCATTTCTGATTTGCAGCACGGCACCAGGCTCGCCGCCGAGGTAAGGGCACCACAATTAATTCAAACCACTGGCTACGGAGGGAAATTTCTTTGAAGGCACTTTTATGTACCCAATAAAACGAAAAGGGAACTGCAAAGATGCAAGTCCTCAAGGGTTGACTCAAGATCTGACCACACCAACACTCACACACGTGAATTATCTCAGAGATGCTGCCAGCGCCCTGCCTGAATGCCAGATGAGTGAAGAGGAGATGCTGATGCTTCTATAAATTAGAAACAGATGTATTAATCAACCAGCTCATCCCTGGAGGCTAATGCAGGATTATTTCCTATATTCCAGCACATCAACTATTTATGTTGGGAATTTAATTTCATTAATTAATTTTAGCGAGAGTGAGTTGGTCGTGCCTTGGCTGCAGAGTTTTGAGTTTCTGATGAGGAAGGCAGGACTGCAACTTGTGTGCTCTGCCAAGGGTAAATCTGTGCTTTAGACCTAATGAAGGCTGTAAAACTTTTATTTTTTAACTTCTCCTTGAGCTGTATGTTCAGACAAAACTGAATGGTGAGGATATGCTTGCCTGGATGCAAAAAAAGAAAAGCAAAGGTAGCATGAACTCCTACTTAATCTGTTGGAAATCCAGAAAAGGCTGCAAAATGTAGGATCCCAGCTCAGCACAAAACTGGGCTGACAGGCTGCAAAACGAGCTTCTGGTTCCTCTCAGAGCCAAGCTGAGCCCAAATTTTCTGATTTCACTGGGCTCCAAACAATGCTGGGCATCAGCTGGACCCTGCTCCATTTGTGGCTGGAGGGTCCTGAGACCTCAATCTATTCATGCTTTGGTTGTGGGAAGCAAAATCTCGAATTTCCAGTCAGCAGCTTCTACAGGGTAGAAAGGGAGATTTGGGCTCTGTCCTGGTGAGAAGGAGATGTAATAAATCCATGTAGCAACACTATGATCCCACTGCTATTAGCATGAACTTCTAAGGTCTCCACTCGTCAGAAAAAGGTAAGAAATTAGTTGATCATAAATCTGTATTTTAAAGTAAGGGGAGATAATCCAACTGTCTTAAGACTTTTTGCCCTTTAAGCCCCCTTAAACCAACTCTCCTTTTTCCCTGCTTTCCTTCACACCCTGAGAATTTATCTTGTTCTCCAGATCCCTGAACCTCCAAAGAATGAGATGTGGGTTGGCAATGAAAAGAATCAGAATAATTTAGCTGGAATAATTTTTAGGGGGGAAAAAAAAACAACCTCTCAAGTTCCCAGTCCAATCCTATGCCCAAAAAACCAGGACCGATTTCAAAGTCAGATCAAGTTTCTCAGGGTCTCGTCTGATTGAGATTTGAAAATCACCAGGAAGAGAAACGCTACCACCTCTCTTGGCTGACTTATTACAGCACTAAACTGCTTAACTGCTCTTGTGGTGAAGGATTATTTTGCTTTATATCCAGCTGGGTCTTTTCCTGCTGCAGCTGGTGCCTCTAGACCTTTCCCTGCCTACCTCTGCAAGTTGTTTGGCTTCTCCATGACTGCTCTTTAACAGCCTCCTCTTCTCCAAGTTTGCTCCCTTGCCTCCTCTGACATTCTCCAGCTCCCTCAGCATCCACTGGACTTGCTGCAACGTGCTGGTATCTCTGGTATTGGGGGTATCCAATATTGGGCACCTTTTCCAGGTGTGGCCTCAGGAGTGCCAAACATTGTCCAGGTTGTTAAAGAAGACATTAAACAATGTTGGCCACTCTACCAACCCTGGCCAGAGGTGACCAGCTCTTGATTAGGCCTCAAACCTTTGACCACTACCCTCAAATCCTGCAGGAATTCCATCCAGACATAAAGCCACCAATCCAGCGCATAATTCCATGATCTGGACACAAAAATGCCTTTGGGAACTGTGTTAACATCCCTGGCAATGTCGAAATCCACACCAGCTGCTTCTCCCCACTGTCCATGGAAGCGGTCATCCCATCCCAAAAGGAAAACAGGGCAGCCAGAAATCCTCACTGTCTACTCCAAATTGCTTCCTTGTCCATCATTTTGCCTGGAAATAACCTTTAGAGCTACCTGCTCTTTAATCATCCCAGGGGCTGTGTAGGTTGACCGGTCAGCTGTTCTCTGGATCCTCCTCCTCGCCCTTTTTAAAGGTGGGTGTAACATTTGCCCTCTTCCAGCCTTCAGGAAGCTCCCCAGGTGACAGAGAGTCTCCACAGTCACACCAAACATCCCCCTCAGTGCATCCCATGGATCTGCAAACATCCAGATAACTTAAAACAGTCCTTGCCACTCTTTTCCTTGCCAGTGGGGAGCATTTTCTTCCCTGGATTCTGTCTCTGTGGAGGAATTTGGGAGCAAACCTTGCCAGCAGAACATGGCAAAAAGGCACTGGGTACCTTCACCTTTTCGACTTCCTTATCCATTAGGCTGCTTGTCCCAATCAACACCAAGGCAAACGCTTTCCTGGGAAATCCTTTGGTGCTGACGTGCCTCCAGAACCCATTCTTGATGCCTCTCACATTCCTGACCAGTTTCAAACGCAGCTGAGCTCTGACCATTCTAATTCAATCCTGTGTTCCTGGGCAATTCTTCCAGAGTCCTCCTTGGTAGCCTGACCTGCATTCCAAACATTTCCTTGTTAAGTTTCTGCTCGGTCAGAATGCTAAGAAGACCTCCTGCCACAGTTGCTTTTCTCTTCCATTTCCTCTTCTCCAGCACAGGATGCTCCACAGAAAGGAATCACCATTCCTCTCCAGACCCTCTGGCCAAAGAAGTCAGGATTTGTATCAGAGGGAGGAAAAAACCAGAACTTGATGGGTTTTGCCCAGGAACACATCTGCAGCAAAGACAGAGCTTCTCCAGGGTGCTGCCCTGCTATCCCTCTACTGATAGATGGATTCTGTCTGCTTATCAAAATACGCTGTACTCAGTCACAAAACTGGGGAAAACTCACTGATAATTTAGGGAATTTCTGTTCCAGACTGTGTCCTACAATCATAGAACGTCCTGAGCTGAAAGGGATCCACAAGGATCAGCAAGTCCAACTCCTGTTCCTGCACAGGACACACCAACAATCCCACCCCTGTGCCTGAGAGTGTTGTCCAAACACTCCCTGAGCTCTGGCATATTTGGTGCTGTGACCATTCCTAGGGCAGCCTGTTCAGTGCTAAACCACCCCCTGAATTAAGAAATATATCCTGATACCCAATCTAACGTCTCCTGACACAGCTCCAGCCATTCCCACAGGTCCTGTCACTGGTCACCAGTGAGGATCCCCACATGCTGCACCAGCTGAGACAGATGGAAAAGGTGGGAAAAGCCCGCAGTCTGTTTCTCTGCCCCCATCAGACTCCTCTCCTCTCCACAAACACTGAGTCACTGCTGCTTTCTCACCATGTGTACACACATCCCTCTCCACACAGCCACTTACTCATCCCTGCCACCTCCCACCAGGGCCAGGAGTGCCTCAGCATCCCCAGCGAGCTCCTGGGTTTAAAGCAAGTTGTTAACAGCCCCTCCAGCTCACTGACAGCCACTCAATCAATCCTCAGGAGTGAGAAAAGCTGGGGCTGTTCTCTCGCAGCGATGCAGCACTCCCGCAGCTGCTGCCGGGGGCAGAGCTCTGCCGTGCCCCACATGCTGATGGGCTGGTGGATGAGCTGCTCGATAGCAGGGATCGATCCCCGTGCTATGGAAAGGTCACTGACTCCAGAGGCTGTTGAGCAGCAAATGAGTTCAGGGATGGAAAACACATCGGGGCGCTCCTGAAATGCCAGTGTGTCAAGGAGCTGCTTGAAAAGAGGCTCCATTTCACCTTTCTGATCCCTGAGTGCTTGAGTTTTCCCTCCCCTCCCCTAGTTTTTTCCCATTTCCATGCCAGTTTTCAATTTTTCCTGGCAATTCCCCCAGTTTCTCCACACGGGTGGTGGAGCACGAGGCCCACACACAGACCGTGCCTCCAGCTGTGACCCAGGGCAGCCAGCGCCGAGACGGAACAAGGTCACTCCACTTCTGTGGCCCACTGTGTCACTGACCCCTCTGCTGAGCCTGCTAATAAGACCAGAGATGCACCATCTGCAGCAGGGATTTTTGCAGCCATCTGTCTACTGGGAACTGGAGAGAGGCCACCAACAGGCCACCAACAGCCGTCAAACAGAAACAACTTCCAGTTTCCAACGGGACCGTGCCAAGTTGGCCGCGTCTGAAGCGATCACTTGCCTCAAAAAGCTCGTGCCATTCATGCCAGTGGCTGAGTAGGTGCCACCAAGGAGCAGCCTTTATTTGGGGGTTTTGAAAGAGGAGTGGAGGGTAAATTCATTTCCTCCCTGATACGTAGCCTGAAGCTGGGATCACCTCCCTGTTACTCTGCCCTCTTTTCTTCACCGTGTTCCTCTCCCTCCTTCTCGCCCTCCCTTCCTTTCTGCTTCCCACATATACAAACAAACCCTAGCTGGGCAAAATTCTGGGAAAGCTTCCAGATTGTCAGCCTCAGCGAGCTTATTCATCAGATGTGTTTCATACTCAAGCTGGGTCTATGGATGCGTGCTCCAGATGCCTTTGTCCGGAGTTCTGAATGGGAAACATTCCGGCCAAAGCTCCCCGAAACAGCTGAGCTCTGGTGAGTGCTCTTCACACAAGATCAGGCAGCCAGGACATGAGGAGTTTGTCTCCAGCACGGTGGAAAAGAACTGCTTTGATGCTGCTCCTGTGTTTTAGAGACAATAGTACTGCTGATTCCATTTCTAAGCACTCCTCCAGCTGCTGTCTATCAGAATATACAACATTCAGGGCAAAACAAAGTGGGAGCCAGGAGATAATGTTGAATACAAAGTTCCTGAGACCATTGATAGGAAAGCACATTCATGTCCAGCAGCTATGCCTAAAATAAAAAGGACACACAGAGCGCTCAGGGCTCAGCCACAGGAATGCTGTGAAGTTTGGAAAACATGAAAACATGATCTACAGAGAAGAAATGGAACAAACTCAGCGCACCAAAGAGAAATTCTAGAGATCACTTGATCATGCTTTACAAATATTTACACAGAGAGACTCAGGATAGAGAGCCCTTTAGTCAAGATATAGCTGGTCTCAGGATCACTTGGAAATGCATGTCCATCCTTGGCTAGCTCAGAAATACCCATTCAAGCCTCCCATAAACGTGTCCTCCCATTCCTGCTGATCATTTTTGGGCATAGGCATAAGGCAAAGAGTGGAATGAGAAATTAAACAGAATGTACTTGAAACAGGTCAGGCAATTTACTGTCCTCAATAACAGTAAATATTGGAGGGGTAGGGGGGAGCACAGTCCTGGAAAAAAATACATCATGTTATTCCAAATGGCTCTGGCATGCTCCAAACTGATTCAGCCTCATGTCTGAGCTTAGGTTTCAGATCCTGACCCTGTTTCTGATAGGAAAGAGAGGGTGAGGCTCGAACGCTTGCTCTTTAATCTTCTAACTTTCCACTTGATCCTGACACCAGTGACCCCAGTAAGGCACCTACCGGCGCTGCTCAGTGCCGCCCAGCCTGAGGAAAAGCAGGAGAGGACAAGGACTTGAGCACATCCAATGATACCCCAGGCACGGAAAAACCTGAGTTCTAGATAAACGTTATCATGATCAGTCTTCAGCTGCCAAAATTAACCAGGCACTATGCACTGTCACAGTATCAACAAAAAAAAAAAGATGCATTTTTTTTTTTTTCTCAGTTTTTTACTCTCTTGTTTCTTTCCTCTACCAAAGCGCAGAAAAAGTCATCTCAATTCAATCTCTAAATGGAATTTACCCTTTCCTCCCTGCTCAGAAGAAGCACTGCACAAATTAAGAGCCTCACACTGATCCCTTCTCCCAAAAGGATCACCAATAATACCCAACAGTACTCCCTGCAACCACTCCATTTGGATTTCACATTCACCTAGTTCTGATTTGTCTTTGCCTGGCCTCGAGCCATGAAGGTCTCAGCGTGTTTGCCATGGATTTAGGAGAGACATGGATCTCGTAGGATAAACTCAGACCTCGTTCAAGGCAATGCAGGGAGAAAATCCCTTGCACACCTCGGGTCCTCCAGCTTAGAGTCACCAGAATGAATCAAACAGGGGCATGGGCCAATTGTTCATCAAAGCTTTGCTTCAAAATCCCTTCAGCCTCCATAAATGACACAATTTTAGGTTCCACCTGACCTGTTTGCAGGAGCTGTCAGCAATGGGATGTACTGAGGGAACCCATATGCATCTGAAGCTGAAGGCAAAACGTAGCTAAAAGGTTGTGGAGTTATTTAGATGATTTAGGGTTTAACATTCTTAAGCTCCTGAAAAGTCCTGTCAGTTCTTCAGGCCAGATGTTTTCATGGCAGGTCACGAAGGCTTGGATGCTCCCAAAGAATTACCTTGCAGCAGCATCTGCCTGCCAAGAGGCCGTGCGTGTCCACCTCGCCTCTGACAAGGTTCCCTGGGGTACACAAAGGCATCAAAACCAGCACGAGGCTTTTGGAAATGGAACAATGTCCCTACATGAGGGCATGGCACTAATTTCACTCTGCTAATTTCTCTGGCACTGAAAGGAGAGAATAATGCCAGCTAAGCCACCAGGATGACTTTCTGCAGGGCCCACTCATTCCCAAACAGTTCCTCCTCAAGCACCAGACACCCAAAACCACAGAGCAAACATTCCAGGATCCGTGTAGGTCAAAGGACAGTTACTTTCCCCAAAAAGAAGAGAATGAAAGCCATACCTCCAAACAGAGACATAAATGATAATCAACAGCAAAAGTGTCAGCGAGGATACTCCACAGCCTACAATTAACGTGACAGAAGGAACCAGCACCTTTTCCATGTTCTGAAAGAGAGAAAGTGAGACATTAAAAATTAAGTTCAGACAGTTCTACCACGAAAATTTCATGGCAAGAACTTTCCTGTTTGTTGGTGTGTCCACTTAGCTGACCTTCAAATCACACTGTGCATACAAATAAGCAGGGAAGGAGACCAGGATCTGTTTCTGCTTGACCCAGCCTTTTTTAAATTTTTTTTTTTAAATTTTTTTATTTATTTTTTTGGACCTGATTCTGCTCCCACAAACCAGTGTCAAGCCTGGGTACCAATATTTGATATTGTTATCTGATATCCAGGGAAGGCAGGCAGGTGGAAGGTGTGGGTTATGAGAGGAAGATCAGACCCTTCATATCCAGTGTGAAACTGGGAAGACAATTAATGAGGCAATAACAGAACAATTACAAACTAGCTCTTCTGGGATGGAGGTGATGAAGGGTGGAGGATGAAAAGAAGGTGAAAATTTTCCACCAACCACAAACATTCATCTGGAAAAGGATGAAATGAAGCAAGGGAAGGAAAAACAAGATGTGTATCCTGCCCACAGGGACCATCCATCAATTCACTGCTCTTACACCACTACAAGAGGCGTTTTTTCATAGAAGGGGATCACACAGGCTGGAAAACCTGGTGTGGAATGGTTCTTTTTTCCTGACTGAATACAAAAGAGCATCAGCTCTTGCAACATCAAGAGCAAACACAGGCTGTAACCTCTCTAATGGAGTTCTCTGCATCCTGTAACTACCCAACATCTGCCACACTGGTGATCACTGAACTCGCCCTGTCCTCAGCAAGGAGCGAGGAGCTCAATCCCACTTGGCTTTCTCTGCTGCAGGCTTTTTTTCTTCTCCCCCCTGGCACGCTTCTAATTTCCACATTAGTGATCTCTGCTGGCAGGAAGGCAGAGAAAGGCAGAGCCCCACGGAGAACAGACACCCAAGAACCCTCTATTTAGGGTGATTACACCATTTGCAGAGGGGAGGGAGCCCAGTCAAGGTTGTCATTAGATTGGCACAGCACCAGCACCTCGCACTTCACTCATGGAGATGAGATGGCTTCTGACACAGCAAGGGCTTAGCACAGGAGATTAAAAGAAAAAAAGAAAAAAAGAAAAGTAAATTATGCATGAATTTAGGAATGAAACAGGCAGTCCTCTAAGGACTTGACTACACCATGTTGTTGGCAGGCATGAGCCTGCTCAGCCTGAACCTCCAGTCAGAGGGATGCCACGGAGCTGAGGCTACAGCAGCTCTGTTCCAGGCTACTGAGCCTTCTCCAAAGCCAAATGCATCAGGCAGGGCTCAGTGCTGCATCAGGCCAGCTCAGAACATGGCCAGAGCAAGCCTGTGTCCACAGTCACTACAGGGTTACTCCAGAAAAAGAGATGAACAACCCTGGTGCACAGAGGTCAGAGCAGAATCGTCCCTGAATTTTTGAGGGCTCGGGAGGATCCTCCTTATTTGCTTATTTTGAACGAGGGCACCTCTCACAGTTGGGGGAATTAATGAGGAAAAAAACTTTCACCATGCCACTGCAAAGAACCCACAGCAGCTGTCAGGAGGGATGGAACATGAACTTCCAAAATTTAGTGACACACTGTAGAAGCCTAGAAAATAAGGGGATTAATGTGAACGTCTCAAACATGGATGGTTGTGGATCCATGTTTGACAAGGATTGCTGGTAATAACACACTGTGAGCAAGCAAGAACATGGCTGGAGAAGGGGCCTTGCACAGGTAGTGCCTTGCAGCACTTTTCTGGGAAAAAAAACCATCCTTGTTCTGGCTCCTGGAAATCAGCACAACACAGCACAGTGCAGACACAGGAATAAGGTCAAGAATAAGGCATGGATTGCAGGTGGATCAAGACCACCCAAGATCCCTGAAGGCTCCAACCCATTTCCAGAAAGGTCTAGAAGAACAGACTGAGCATGACAACCAATTTGCATGGAAAGAGAGAGACTTCTCTCCAAAGCAGAGAAAACTTTCCTATAAAAAGGTACTCCTTGGGCTCATGGGCACCCCAGGACCCCGGACACCCCATCAGCTGGATCAATGCTGGAGCCAGCACTGGTGATTTCTCTTTCTCCCTTTACTTGCTTCTCCTTTGTTTCTCTCTCCCCCTGTTTAATCCATCTCCTTTTTCCCTCCCACTCTACCCCTTTATCCAAAGCTGTCTGCCGTGTGCTTGCACGAGATCAGAGACTAACATAACAATTTCCAGCTGTCATTCACTTATAAAACTTGGGACCCCTGTGACTTCTGCCATTCCTTTTCACCAGAAATTATGGGTGCTTCCTTCCCCTTAAGGGTGGGATGTCACACACATTCAATGACTTGAGCACTTGGTGCTCTGAGGGATCTTCACTGGGTGCTGACCAGCCATGGGCAGGAAACCTGAGTCCCACCAATCCCTCCTGCATCTTCCTCCACTTTGAGATTCCCAAAATGCTCAGGAAAGAGACATTCCAGCTCACCTGTGGATTCCTTCCCTAAACTTTTACAGAGACTTGTCTCACTGTGATTTTTAACATCAACTCCTGTGACTGTGCTCACACCCTGAGAATTTACTCCTGCAAAATATTCATGCAAGGTTAGAAGCATTTTTTTTTGAGAACGAGGTAAACATAAATTTCAATGAAAATATCAACGCTTTGATTTTGTCTTCCATCCAGCAAAATTGAATTTGGACATCATCCAGGCAGAGTGAGTGCTGATATCGCATATTTTGCTCCTTATAAAACTGAAATGTGGAAAGGACTCTGATTTAGTCACGTAGGGTGGGGCAGAGGTGGATGCAACGTCCTGTAGCAAGCCACAGCTTTGTTTCTCCCCCCTGTAGAGTCCTGGCGGACAACAGCCCTGTCCCACTGCACAGATAGCTGTGATAAAACCAAGCACTGTGTTCCAAGCACTGTGGAACACCATATACCCAGCCAAGGATGGCTCCTTGCTCGCTCCCTCCAAGCTCTTTCCCAGGCCTCTCCCTCTCCCTGCTCCCCCTTGACTGCAATTTGAGTTCACATCGCACAAATGGTGGCCTGGGATGAACATTGATTGTGACATTTGATTTAAGTAGGTCTCATTTCACTGACTTTTCATGGGTAACTGGATAAAAGTGGGGGAGGAGCTCCATAAAGCAAAGAAAGCCCGGCATGTAACTCATTCCTGAACCACCCGAGGCTCACCGAGGGAATGGAGCTTGGTTTTTAAGAGATGAGCAGGATGCATCCCTAAATCCCAACACTGCAACCCCAATTGCCCTCCCTTCCACATCCTCCCTGAGATCCCTCCACCCCAGAAGACCTCAGGTTGTCTCACCGTGTCACATAATCCTCCCCTAGATCTAAAAAACCCAATTAAGGATCTTTTGCATGTACTGGATCATTCCTAGCCCAGATGTTTGCTCCTAGACGAGGCATTACACAAATGATGACTGGCCAAGCTTTAGGGTAGTTAACTGATGTCCACCTGCAGCCCATCCCACAGGAAAGACTCTGATCTGCACCTCCTTCTTCATCCTAGAGATTTTCACAAGCCCCATGTCTAGAAGAAAAGCTTTTGCTGAAGAGATGCAGGATGAAGCTCACCCCTCCACCCCACGGAAAAGGAAGGATTGGTCCAGCCCTGAAGGGATTTTTGCTGGAATCAGGAAGGGGGATAACAACA